TCTCTCTTTCCCCCGCCTCTACTTCTTCCTTACGTGACGATCATGCGTTTTATTTTCCGAATAATGCGCCCTACTTACTTATTTCCTTTCAGTCCTGTGATCAGGTGAGTTCTTTGTTTTCGTCATTCTAGCTCAAGTAGTGTTACCGCCGGTTTGTACGAGCTCCCTCCCTGCCCCCCCTCCCCCCAAGCCACTGGGGTTGACCTCTGCTTGGTGAAAAGTCCTTATGACTCCAGCCGGGAGCTGGTTTTACTTACAAACAGATGTAGTCTCCGTATGGAGCGAAGAAAAGTCGGTTCACGGTTTCACTTCTGCCAACGCTCTCGAAAATTCCGCTCCACCAAGGTCTTTTCGCCGTTCTTCATTGTCTTTTATGCTAGGTCATCTTGCTCACTTGATCTGCTTCTGACCTTATACCGAATTTTTCGCATCCCAGATATCTCACCGTCTCTGTGCCTCTCTCTCTCTATATATATATCTATGTATATGTTGACTTCATTTTGATTTGTACAAATTGCTACGATCGGCTTCCTCCTCTTCCTTTTAATTTCTACTCTGGTTCATGAAAATAAAGGCGTACTTGATTGTGGTTTCGCGTTCTTAAGTACTGAGCCTTCTAGGCACTCCAGAATAGTCTCGCGGTAAGTAAGGGTCCATTGCTTTTTCTTAAGACGACAGTCATTATCTGTATCAGCATTCAAGCAGACAGACAGGGAGGGGTTTTCACTCCTCTTTTCCCGCCATGTTGAATAGGAGTATTTCTATCAGATTTACCGTAAATACTGAGTGCAGTGGAGCTTCCGGTTGACGAACAGCCCCATCTATGAGCATTTCAGGTAACGAGCGAGCCACCAGTAGAAAAATTGTTTCGATTGACGAGTTTCAGCTCAGTTAACGAACTGTCAGTGCGTGTGTATGCCTGTATACTCTCAGGGCGTGGGTCCTCGGTCGCCTGCAGCCAATCAGTGAAATGTTGCAGTTTGATTGGCTACGTTTCGCAAGACAAGTGTTACACATGATGAGCTCGGTGTCGGAACGGATTAAACTCGTTAACCGTGGTTCCACTGTATTGTATGCCTTAGTGCTTGTCAAAGGCGGAGAACAAACCTCAAAGTCATGGCATAATGTGTTACCGTCCGGTCTGCTTAGTCGGTGGAGGCGACAGAATTTACGGTATTCTGCAAAGACATGCTCACTTCGAATTGATGGCATTTCTGTAGTCACATTTTAACTCCCGTACTCGGTTCGGAACAGTTCGAGTATATAAAGTAAGGTGTGATAGCTTTAATAAGAAACTTAGTGGCCCGGCGTTCCGTATTCTGGCTTGAACTTATCATCAGACACAGCTCTTTTCTGCGGTCGTCTCTAATGAGGGGTCCAAGCCAGCATCCGAAAAGTTAGGCCAATAAATTTCTTGTTTCAGCGATGGTATTTTCTCCTTATGAACTGCTTCGTGGAAATCACGTGTTTGCTTCTATTAGCAGTGTGCTGTGTCTTAATACTCTGTCAATGGGATTTCGTAGGGAGCCTTGTATAGCATCCAAAGGGTAGCAGAATAAAAGAAGCCTTCTGTTTTTTGCAATGGGTTCGTTGAAACTGAGATAGAGTTCGGAATGTATCTCCAGAAAAAAGTATTATGACAAACTACGATTGACAGTGGAACACGGTTGGAGTTATCGCAGCGGGTTAAGTGAGTTAACCCCTGGCAACTGCTATTTTCAGGTCTGATTTCAAAGGAGAGGAGGAGTCATGCGACGGCCAGAGTGGTAAGAACAGTTTATTCTGTAGAGAAGGAAGTGAAGAATAGGCAAGAGGATATTGACTGTCAGACGACCGCAAGCCAGTGGACGACGTCTAAAATGATCAGAGCGTAGGCACAGGCTTTGTTCCTTCGGCCAATCAGGAAATGGTGCTCTCTGGTTGGTTAAAGTTCTAAAGGGACTAATCTCCAGTCTCGCGGTAGTGCCTCGACCTTCAGATTGACGTAGACGACCGGTATATGTGCAATCACCGGCAGCGGTGAGACTTCGCGCGGTGATCGTCTGCGCAGAGTGAATAACTACAGGGTGCGTCACGTGCTCTCTGAACGTTTTCAGTTGTATCTTCCAGAGCAAACCAGTGGAAATTGGCAACTTTTCTAACTTTAAGTGATTCCGTGTGTAACGCATTCGGCCAAATTGGCAAGTGAATCCGATTCAACACTTGTTTTCTGCGTCTGAGTTCAGCCTGGCAATCGATCGATCTTTGTCGACGAAACCCGAGCGGGTCACTGTCAACCAAAATACCACGTAAGAACCCAAGAGGGGTACAAAAGTATTCCTAGAGCATTAGCTAGGAAATTAACTTCCAGTCGTTGACTCTCATCCGTTGGCAGAAGAATCAGTAGTACCAACTCCTAACGTACGACATTGAGACGGCACTCGATTGAAATAGAGATTGCATAAATGGCGCCAGGGAAAATCCGAAAGACCTACGTGAGGAAAGTTGAACCTAGCCGCTGAAGAAGCCCTTTCTCAACGATTCTTTATTGGAAATGGACGACGGCTTCGTGCTCTTTTACCAATTCTGCGAACACGATCATGAGATTTAGCCAAACGACCAAACGCTGAGCTGTAGAGTGCTGGAACTCAAAATATGGTTTTGAATTCGAGACAGAGTACGGTAAATGTTATAAATCATTGAATCCTAGGATTTTTCCAAGAAACTCCCTGTTACGCAAGCGCAGCTCACATGCCGCCACCCAACGCCTTATAGAAGTAAAGGAAAGATTTTTCTCAAAAAGAAGGCATACTGTGGTTGATCAAGTAATATTACGTTGTTTATAAAAGCAGCTTTTTTATAGAAGCGGAAGATGCCGAAAAAGTAATAATCGGGCGTACTGGGTATTTCGTTAGAAAATAATCGTTTTGAAAAATTTTCGAATACATATACTCCCATATTACGCCGATGTAATGTATGCCAGTTACCAAACAGCCCAAAGTTCGAATATATATTCCAGCATGACTTCAGGAGAATTGGTCGTTGTTTCTTCCTTTCCTAAATTATTGGAGTTACGGTGAACGAAGGCAACCAAATGTTCGCTTAATTGGAAGCTCACAGGCGTAAAATATTGCGTGAGGTCAGGTGCGGACATGCCGGCCAGTGCCAAAAAAATGTCAATAGAATTATCAGATGCAATCGTAAACGTACTATTTTCTGCACCCTAAGAGAAATTCCCTTCCGACACTTTTCTTTGTGAATTCTTCGGGCCTTCGATTACGACGAGGTTCAGGTCGTCCTTTAAAAGGTGGTCCACACTTAACTATTTTCAGTGGTTTCATTCGATTGTCCATAATTAAGGATTATGTTTTACGTGCTTATCAAAACCTTCAAGATCAGATATTTCTTAAGAGCATTTACCTAAATGGTGTACATACTTTAATGAATAGTGAGGATTCTTAAGGGCTTTAAGAGAAGGGAAACACTTTTTTTTAAATCGTATTTGAATTTTTGTACGGACAACGTGAATAATTATGTTGAAGCGCGGCTGCTTTTTCATGCGATCTCGGGTAATTTACTTAGTTACAAATACGTGATACAGCCGGTCTGAAGCAGAAAGTCTGGTGTTCTACTGTCTTTCCCACTCCAGGTGTTCTGAAGTGATAAGCGGAAGCCGTTGGCTACTGTAAAACTGTCGGCCATGATGTCTCAGGTAGCCTAACATAGGCATTCAGTATCTCGGGATGTTCTCTTCTGGATTCCACTGTTTGCGAGAGTTAGCAGTCGCTAAGCTAACTTACTTTGAAATGATAATTATTGCTCCGGTAAACAAAAGGGACTGCCTCACACCAGAACTGGGACGTGCTGATCGACAGGGACAAACCAACAGTTTTACAATTTTTTTGAATTTTTAAACTTTTCTTATTAATTTATAGCCTAATCTTTTCTTGCTGGCCAATTTAATCTTTCTTTAGTCTGTGTCCGTGCATCCGCATGCATGATCCATTTGTCTTGAGGAAGTTAGGAGCCTTTGTTTGAGGTTTTCCTGCTAGTGTATCTCTGTCTCAGCCAAATTGGTAAAGTTATTTTAAAGTAACCAACTGGGCTAGCTACTCTCTTTCACTAAGAAGGAGAAACAATCACGAAAACGAGAGCTTTGTAAGCCGGACGTTTCGGATTGTCAGTGGAATTCATCCTCAGATGTATGCAGGATCTGACACTTTTTACAGGCATGCAGACGCATTATCGCTCTATGAACTCAGCGTCTGCCAATTTTGATAGCGAAGCAGTGGCGTAGAAACCGCATTTTAAAAATATTGCAGCAACTTTGCCATCCAGTACCCCTACCTAATTTCGTATCTGGGATCGGAATCGAATGGGAATTCAAAACGTCAACGACTGCTCTGGAATCGTTTTTTTATCGGTAGTTGATTTTTTCACCACTTGGCAGTAGATTATTAAAGAAAATTTTGTTTCTTAATAATTTTGCTCACACAATTAATTTTAAATATGATGCCTGTCCATGTTATATTATACTACTGTAGGTCAAGAACCGAACGCTGCATTTCCTATGGAATAGCTGGCGAGCTGTGACTGAGAATTACTAGGAAGTTCAAGAGGGATCTTGCTGTTTTCTATAACAGTGCAGCAAATCAATCTAGATTGTTCCCTTAACATGCATTCGGTATTTTCCACAATAACACACCTGTCGCAGAGCCGGTTTACGTGGGGAACACACAAACTCGACAATAT